AGTAGCTGCTATTTCTAATCACAGGGAGATTGTGTTATTCTATCTATTTTAGGACACATTTCTTCATCACTCTTTTACTAAATGCTGCAGAAATGCAATAAGTAAGTCTTAGCGAATGTATTAAGTTCAAGATACCCGTTTACTGAATCAGTTGTCAGATTGAATGTGATATTCAGTTATTTTTTGTTAATAATAGGTTATATATTTTTGCATATATGATAAACAAAATAATGTCACAGTTGATTTGTTACAAGTCAATATTTTTAAAGTAACCTTCATGTTTGTTCGTTTCACGAATTTTCTTTGTGTAGAACCTCAACAAATAAATTTTAATTAGCATCGAATAAACAAAGTGTAGTATTAAAATAGTCTTTGCTATATATGGATTTTTAGAAAGGCATTCTGCCAAAGGATGTACTAAAGAATAAAGGAAATTGTATTACGTTTTTTCGCACCATTAACAAAATTAATTCGAATCAGAACAGGTATTAACAGATTTATTTGAATAAGAATTTTTGAACATGTTCGAAGTAGTCGAAATTCAAGATTATGAGCTAATACTCTTTGATTTTCAATTGACCATTCATCTATTCAATCAAAAGTAACACAGGTCCGTTGATTTTTATTACAAAAACGAAAGGTATGCTTGATCATTAAAAAGACTGCTCGTATCGTCATATCACCCTACATTAACTATGCTGTCATGTTTCCTTACTACAGGGACAAAAAGATAAAATAGCACATTCCCTTTCATACTGTTTATACATATTTCGAGGAGATTATTGATTTTTGTTTCATCCGATGAAGTGTTATTGCTGTATAGACATGGAATAAAAGTTATAAAGATAAATAAAATTTAGCTTTTCAAAAAAAAATAAAAAGCAAAGCTTTGAATTTCTTGATGCAAATTAATCGTGCATTTTATATACACAAAACTGTAAAAGAAAAATGAAAAAAAAACAGTAGGATATTATATGTCATCTTGTAATCCACACATCACATTTGCAGGAAGACCTTTATCTAAATAAAATTATAATGGAAAGTAGATATTCATTATAAATCATATCTATTTTAATCGATTTGTTTTGGATAATCAAGTTTCAAATTACTCATTATTACAATAAATTCTTCTCGTGATTTAGTTAATCGTAGATTACGAGTTCTTTTTCTTCAAGAATACTTGAACATGTTTGTCCTAAATAAATAAT